AGGCTAGTTACAGCAAAGTTTATATATAGATTGTTATAATTTGTATATTTAAGTTTTATAATTTGCTATTTTAGACACGTGTCATGCTATATCACACTGTAAGTTTAAATTAGTTGTAAAACTATTTTATTTTTTTTTATTTGAATTTTGTATGTTAGTTACAAATAGGTTTATATATTGCTTGTTTATATTTGTATAGAACTTGATACTTTAGACATGTAGCATTCACGCATAGGGTATCAAGTTTAAATGTTTACTTGAATTTATTTTAATGGGTATATTTATATAGGCTAATTGCAGCTAAGCCTACATATAATTTGTTTAAATGCTTTTATAATTCACTATTTTAAGCACGTGGCATGCAATATCACACTGTAAGTTTCATCAGTTGTAAAATGTTTACTTTCATTTTTTTTTAATGGGTATTTATTTAGGGTAGTTACAGCAAAGTTTATATATAAATTGTTTTTATTTGTATATTTAAGTTTGTATATGCTTTTATAATTTGTTATTTTAGACACGTGTCATGCTATATCACACTGTAAGTTTAAATTAGTTGTAAAACTATTTATTTTTTTTCACTTGCAATTTTTTTATGTTAGTTACAACTAAGTTTATATATTGCTTGTTTATATTTGTATAGAACTTGCTACTTTAGACATGTGGTATTCAGATATAAGGTATCAAATTTAAATTCTAATATTTATACTAATAATGCGTTTAGTATTATTAAATAAAAAGGTGAGTGGCTTTTTTCAAATTTAAATTCTAATATTAATACTTTTAACATGTTTATTATTATTAAATAAAAAGGTGAGAGACTTTTTCTTTTATTCTTGATGTGTGTAAAATGTTTGCAACTATTGATGTGTGTAAAAATTTTAGAACCTTTCACATAGCAAGTATCTTTTGTAGCGCATTTAATTTTTGTTTAATACATTGAAATGTAGAACTAATAAAATAACATATTTTTTATTAGCAATATAAAAATAAAGAACTAGCAACAAATGTTTCTTACAGGGTTATTAGGTAAAATTTGTTTCCATTTTGTATTATGGTATATCATTTATATTTAATGTTTTCTTTATTATGTTTTAAGGTTTGTTTATCTTTAAATAATTGACAACAGTTGCTGGAATTAAAATGTGCACACACATGCATTTAAAACATTGAATCCTAGTAAAATAACAATTATATACATGTCTGTGTTTTTTATATAAATGTTTTTTGACCTTAAATAACTGTATTAATAAAATATATATTAAGAAACTTTTTATATTTTTATTGATATTTTTTAATTTTTATTGTAATTGAAAACTTCTTTATTGAATTAAATTATTATAAATATTTAATTAGTTTTCAATTTAAAAGTTAAAACGTTTTTCAAGCTAAAAAATCTCTCCTGATCATGTTAGTTTGTATCAAATGTTGAATATTATAATAAAATGATTTATATACTAAAAATAAGAACTATTCTGTAATGAAATCTCAGCCCTTTCTGGCTTAATTCCTTTCTAATTTTAATAATGGAAATAATAAACTATTCAATATGATGACATAGTAAATTCTTTATTTTACCAAAACACCAAAAGCCACCTCGCGTAATAGTTCCTTTATTTTAACAAATTGTTTGTTGCGCAAAAGGAATAAATCCGTAATTTCAACAGACTAATATCGATTAACTTCCATCCATTAAAATTTTAATCCATTAACATAATGGAAAACCCGATGGCACAATAGCAACAGATGCAGTTTGTTGTATATAACAGATTTTTTCTTAGAGTGTATAAGCTTATCAATTCAAAGATGTCAAGGAAAATATTTAGTTTACTAAATTATATTTGACAAAATATATTTGATATTCCAGCATTTAGAATTTTATTTGATGTTTTTGAATTTTAAATATAATCATTAATTAATAGAATGTGATCAAACCTGTACAAAATCGAAGCTATAAGTCAAGTTTTAACCTGATAAATTATTAGACTAGATATTTATTTATAAAATATTTATAAATATTATGCCAGATTATTATAAATTTACATAAAGCCAGTGCTGTCATAATAACAAGTAAACAGAAACTCACAGAATGACTGATTAAAGTATGGCATTGAGACCCAGATGTTAAAGCATTGACATAAATAGTATGCCAAGGCATATTATAGCTCTTTTAGAGTCGAAAGACTCATCACCAAGTAATAAATTTCATATTATGGTTTGTATGTATTAATATATAAATTGCATAACAAACAAAAATTATATATACACATATATACAGTCCTCAAAAGGAGGCGGGATGCGGCAGGATGCTACCCTATCGAACACTTTTTTTAAATTTCTATATATAACAATGATTAGGCGGGATGGTATTTTTTATCTACTAAATACCCTCTCGTTAATTTTTCTTCTTCACTTCGAGCACTGTATATATATATATATATATATATATATATATATATATATATATATATATATATATATATATATATATATATATATA